ATTCAGATGATTAGGTTAATAAGTCGTTTAGAGAACCTTTTCATGATTCGCTAATTTTTTGAGATAGGGATTTTTGTTTTGTTTTGTTGCCAAAATCATCAATATTAAAACAATAAAAGGCTTGAACTACTTCAGCTGGTGTGCAATGGATCTAAAATATATGAAAGTTTAATGTTTATCAGTACATTACAGAAAATAATGAACTTTATCACAATATGCTAATTTTTTTAGAAGGATACATCAATATTAAAACAATAAAAGGCTTGAACTACTTCAGCTGGTGTGCAATGGATCTAAAATATATGAAAGTTTAATGTTTATCAGTACATTACAGAAAATAATGAACTTTATCACAATATGCTAATTTTTTTAGAAGGATACATCAATATTAAAACAATAAAAGGCTTGAACTACTTCAGTTGGTGTGCAATGAATCTAAAATATATGAAAGTTTAATGTTTATCAATACAATACAGAAAATAATGAACTTTATCACAATATGCTAATTTTTTTAGAAGGACCTATATAGTTGTACGTTGTAAAAATTGAATAAGAAGTTACTTTTGTTTACTTCTCCCCAGCTTACACAAAGTGAAGAGGCTTTTCTCCGGAATTATGCTGGTGTGGTCCACAGTCAGATGAGCCAACTACCACAGCACAACATAGACCAAGGCAAGGCTGTGACGCACTCTCTCCCACACACACACACACACACACACACAGCACAAGAATCATGCTATTCCTAATACTGACAGATTTGATCAGAAAATGGACTTAATATTATTAGTTTACCTTTTCAGTGCAGGCCAGTAGTTTGTGTTTTCAGATCACTTTTGTTTTTATATTGATACAGTTCAGTGTTTTGGCAGCAGTCAGACACAAAGGACATTTAAAATAATAACCTAAAAGCTCCACCCTTTAATACCATAAAGGTGCTGCTGTGCCCAGTTAAAATAAAAAACAAGGGAAAATCCCTCGGCATGCTTTATAAAGTGTGCACCTCATCAAGCCAAGCGGCTTCCCTGCCTGCACTGATGACGACTCAGCTGCCCACCCGCTCCCTGAGATTACTCACACAGCAAACAGCATGCATGCCTGGAAACGAGTGACTCATCCTCAGCAGGAGGTGCAGCAGCAGTAGTGTCACTTTCAAATCTAACAGTTGGCCTGGTTGGAGAAAAATGTGGCAGTGCTTACGCTGTAAAGTAAATCAGATCTCCTGTATGGAAATGGAAGTATTTTTATACAAGGGAGTGTTTTTTGTGAGTGAGTGAATGTACACTAGAGTGCGCTGTTGAGCTTTCGTTATTTCCTGTATGAGGGGTTCTCCGTAAGCAAGTCTAAACCACAAGAAGGCGCTGCATTAAACACTGATTCCCATGGAGAGGCACTGCAGTTTTCTGAGAAAGCAGCAGAAAATTGAAGCTATTTCAGTGCAGCTACACCTCCAGTTCAAAACACAGTTATCAGACAGGAGCCCTGCTGTGGTAAACCCGCTGTAGTCTAGGTCTTCGTTTTCTTTTTATTCAACATACAGGGAGAGCTTTAAAACAAGAAAATTACCTGGGACGCTTTTTCTCCCTTTGAGGCGTTAGGTCTGTGTACCTTGTCTGTGTCCTTTGTCTGAAACAAAACAGTGGGTGACTGTCAAAATATCTCTTTTTTATGCTGTGGAGGAGCGTTAAGGAATTAAGCAGATTTGATAATACTGCATATGTTGATTGAGCAGTAGAAATAGTATTCATATCAATAAAATTACAGCACCAAAAAGTGAAATCAGGGCTACGTGACATCATTTTGGTGTTTATTAAGCTAGAGATCAACTCTCAACAGTAAGCTGCATATTTTTTTCCTCACACCCCTTATTTGATTCAGAACTTTGTTTCTTTGCCCTGTCAATGCAGCGAGGACGAGTGTCATTAATTATGGAAGAATATAACTAGAGAAAGGTACTGCAAGTATGCATCATACATTACAAAAACAGACACATCCTCGTTTGCCCATAAATTATTCGGAGACTACATCTTGTCTGAGTGATTGTGATTAGGGTTTACGGATATGGCTGAAAGTTAATTAGTTTTAAAATATTCAAGGCTGCACAAAGGACATCATTTGGTATGTATCAGCAGACACAGGGTTCTTTGGAAGCCTGTGAAAAGGAGTGAAGTTCACAAATAATGGGGTTAAACAAAGTATTGTAATTTCAGGTTTACCGATCAATCAGCCTGACTGCTAGTAACAAGTTTGCATGCCCAACCAAGTAGCTAACTCTGTAAACTTCAGATGGCAAACATTTAAAGTACTTCTTGTTTTTGCTTGTTTTCTTTGCATGTTTGGTGTTTTTTCCTTGTTTGTGCCCAAAGTGTTTGTTGATTCTGATATTTTTCTGTGTCACCTTTAGACCTCACCTCAGTCTTTATGTTTAGTTTCTAAAACTAGTTTTTAGGGCTTTTTTTTTTTTTTGAGTGACATCGCTTTTTGATTTTTAGCTTTAAATTGATTCTGTAAGAAAAAAATTGCTGCAGAATTTGCTTTTGCTGCACAGTATAAAAACAAAGAAGCATATTTTCTGCTAGTTCCAAATTTTTGAAAAGCATCTGTTCAAATTGGAAAGTAATTAGCTTTGAAGGACTAACTGAAAACAGATGGACTAATTCACCAGTTTCCTTTAAGAAGGTCTCAGCCTTGAGCTGCAGCGACAGTGATCGTGGCGTCATGTTGAGAGGGTGCTGAGGTTGCAGGGGTGTCATGTTGATGCATCAGAATTCCTAAACACAAATGTTTCTGAGAGCTGAAACACACTATTGTCTAAAGTTATTTGCAGTTGTCAGTTCAGCACTTTTCAATAAATGAGGTTGCAGGTGTGCAGAGGTGTTACTTTTCCTTATCAAAACTGATAAAATGCATTTAGTACTCAAATTCAGTCCCTGTCTCTGCTTAAAAGTCAAATGTTATCCTGTGGCCTTTGTGTACTGACACTTTATTTATTTCTCATAAATGTAGAGGTCACCAAATTTGCATTTCAGATTTAATTGGCTAATTACCATACGAGCAAATGCAAAATCTTGGTTTGCAATTTTAATTAGGTCATATAGGAATTATCCACCAAAGAGCTGCAATTTGAGGCTTTCTTTAATCAGCTTGCTTGTTACAAATGCTTCAGTGTAGAGGCCAAACTGGACTCTGGACGATACGTTTCATAGGCTCTTACCCTGTTTGGGTAAACTCCTTAAATGTGTTTATGTGTAAATTGGTTTGTCTTCTGCCAACTCTGAATCTTTTTTAAATAGACCAAAACAGAAAATGGTCTGTTATTTTTCTTTTTTTTTTTTTTTTGGTCACAACTTTCTTAAAATGGCTTTGAATACAGTTTTAGCCCCTCATAAAGCCAACACTGGTAGCCGTCCTGTTTTATTTTGATTTTAAAGTCACCTAAAGGATGCTGAAGGGCCCACTAAAAGAGAAAGGAGAAGGAGGCGTTGCTATCGAAACCCAGTTGTCCCAGGAAAGTGGAGCATCCCCAGAGGCTTCAGTGTTGTTGTGGCATGCTGTATTTATAGAGTTAAGCGTGTCAAATTGAGGGAGTGCTAATTACTCGGTGTGATATTCCAGTGTTTCAGCCCATCTTGTTGCTTGTTATAGATTTATGTAGTTAGGATCCCACTGTAATCATGCCTCATAGTTACTTACAGTCATAATGATGCACTGTCTTTAAACTTGGCTTTTAGAGTTATTTCAGACAGACCAAAGATGTTAAATGTAGTTTGTTGCCCTAAGTAGCGTGATATTCATTCCCACATTATCTTAATCTTTCTTGCAGCATAAAGCTAATCAGTGAGTCAGATTATGAAGAACCTTAATTCACCCGAGTTGATGGAGTCGGAGCTTTTGATAAATTTTCACAAATAAACTTTTTTATTTTTCAGTATACAAGTTTTGAACATTCGAGATGAGCTTCCCAAATATTTTAAGCTAAACTAGTCAGGTTTTGTCATCTACTACTAATGAAAATGGACAATAGTGTGATTACCTGTGTGTCTGTCCTCTGTTAGGATCTCAGTGATCAGTGATCAAACTTTGATAAAAAATTTGGAGTCACACCTATTCAAGTTGGCCACTATTAGGGATTGACTATAGCAACACAACTATGGCTCTAACTGTGATTTTAACAAACGTTGAGATGAATTTGATGTGACTTTAGCTGAAAGTCATCCCTAAGACACACTTTAAACACTTTTAGATCATTTAACATCTATTTTGTCTAAACCATTGACATACAAGGCAGCGGGCATTAGGCATTCCTCTAAAGAATCCTACTTTTATTTATTTATTTATTTGTATCTGGCCTGTTAGAGGTCAAAATAATAAAGGATTTTAAATGACTTAAGAAGGTGTTCACACTTAAAATATATATTGACACTACTTAAATATAACTAGCTCAAGTGAAATAATAAAATATTGCACCAGTTCAACTCTCAGTTAATTTTAATAAGAAGCTCAGATGTCTAAACTTAGGTGTGTTTGTAGTTTTTAAGATGGTGTAGCCTGGTAAAAACCAGACCCTTGTCCTTGACTTTGCTTCGTACGAAGGTCTGGACTCTCAGTTATAGAGAAGTGATTCTTGCTGGAGGCGTGGCCTCTGCTGAAGTGTGTCGCTGTGACGGAGGCTAAGCTAAGAAGCTAACCGGAAATCGCGTGTTCTGTAAACAACCCTACTGAGAGGAGAAAAGTACCGAGCCAAACGAGACGACTGTAAATGAGAGCTGCTGATTTGTCAGACAAATTTATTTTAATTTGGAAGTCTTGTCAACACAGACTGGCTTCATTCACTTCCTCCACTGCTATTGCTAACTAACTAACACTGCGCAAAAAATTAACCTCGTTCAAAACTCCTCCTTCTGTTTGCTGATTGGTCCAGGTAAATAAACTACAAGCAGACACTGCGCAGAAAATCAACATTCTCTTCTCTGATTGGTTCGTCTAAAAATCTGCCAGTGAAATCCATCTCAATGGGAGAAGTCCCAGACGGAGCAGTGAAGGGAAACTAGAATTGAGCGGCACTGCATAGGAAGGCAAGGACCAGGCTAAAGATGATGATAAGATAGTGGGATCCAGCAGACTGTCTTCAGATGAGGAGCAGTACTTTATTGAAGTGACTGGTCTAAATGTGTGTTGTGTGAGTATTGGATCAGTGTTTAAAAGTTTAAATGCCTGGACTGTGTTGATGTAGTCTCTTCTGCGTCTGTTGAGCCAGACCACACACAATCCTGTTTTCTGACATTCTTCTGAACACGCCCCTACTGTTCTCAGCGTCTTAACGTCGCCAGCTGACCCTGCACAGTGACCTTAAATGTTGTGGGTGCAGCGTTGCTGCAACACAGGCGTCATCACACGGATGTTTTTCTGCTTATTCAAGCTGGAGAGACTGGCAGAACGCAGCTGGATACCTCTCACTTCAAACAAGCTCCCTTTGAGGTTATTAAGATTTCTTATCCTCAGAGGTTTCACTGGAGCTTTTATGTTTCTTTGTTCATTTCATGCAAACCACATATTGATTTATGGTCTCTCAGAAGTGTAAAGAAAACATGTTTGTTCTTGTTGTTGCTGCTGTTGGCCTAAGGCAAGAAAATCACCAAAAATATCCATTAGTTGCTTTTGAGTCTTTGTGTGAAAAATAAAGTAAAATCAAGTTCTGGGAAATTTGCTTCTATATATGATGACAATTTAAAAGCAGAACTGCTGTATCTAAATGCTTTAGAATTTGGTTTTAACAAAATTAATTGGTTTTTAAAACCTAAAACAATCTGTTTTCAGATATTAATGCTTTTGTTTTGTTCCATTAGTCGATTTCTGTTATATTTAAGCGTAAGGATTAGTTTGTATAAAAGTTAAACAGGTTAGTGATGTTCTGTAAACTGATGCATATCTGTTTTTGAGACATCCCGTCCACCTCAGTCGAGCAGGCTTGAGGCAAGGAGAAAATCAGCCTGAGGCAGTTGGAAAGACAAGAGAACGGCCGGCAGCAGAGCTACATCAAAGCTGCTCGCTGAACGCATCAGCAGCACAGCCCGATTTTTATCTGTCGCTAGGCAACAGCATCAAGGGACCTGATGTTTCCATCTTGTTGGATGGAGCTTGTTTGTTGTGTGTGCGTGTGTGTGTGTTCGTAGCAGGGCGAGGTCCGAACAGGAGTCTCAGGTTTAGCTTAGCTTGTGGAGGTATTCTGAGAGAATATCTGCTGGCGTAGGCTGCTCAGATGTAATTCTTTAGCAGAGTAAACTTAAATATTTTCCCCTTTTTTAATATGACAAATGGGTTCTGCCTTTGCTTTATTTATTTATTTATTTATTTATTTATTGTAACATTGCTTCATTAATAGGGCTGTGTATTGGCAAGAATTTGGCGATACAATACATATCATGACAGGGGTCACGATACGATATATCCCGATATATTGCGATACTATAAGCAAGGCGATATATCGCGATATATTGCGATTTTTTTGTCCAAAAAATTCTATTAAATAAAAACCTCTTACAGGGGAAAAAAAAAGAAAAACCAAAATTCATTGTCTCAGAAAATTCTAATATTACATAGACATGCTTTTGATACATTTA